CATCAGGAGAGCATGAGATATACTTTTTGAAAAGTATTATCACTTCCATTAGAACAAAATAACAAATGCCTGCAAGTGTATTCATTTAAAATCACATCGGTCAGAATTCGAAGCTGGCTGGGGTCGATCTTTAGGGTCTTTATGGAAAAGGGGGTTTACAGGAAAAGATTCATGGTCATATGGTTTTTAACTTTTTATTGAACTGTGGAAGAAAGCAGTCAAACATTCAGAGGCACTAATAGGGAAAAATTCTGGATAAAGAATAGCTACAACACTCCTGCCAAGTTCAGTAACCACTGATATCAAGAGACTGATCTGTGTGAATCTGGTCTAAACACAACTGAAAAGAACACTTTTGTCACATTAAACAATGCATCACTGAATTTAGAAATGCAGTTTCTGTAAAGACTTCAATGGATCATTTATTAATGATATAAATTATATAATCCAAAGAGTGTTTTGAGTATATCTGGCATAATTTAAATGATCTTGGATCTGAGCTGAACCATCAATGAAAGCAGCACGATGATCTTATGGTGGAGAAACACTCAGAGCTGTCCGGATGCTATGAAAGAAAAACCAAAACACAAATTTCAAGACTTGCAACTATTATTTTTCCAATTTATGCAGCTGGTTAGTAAATGATGAATGGTGGTGGAGTATAGGAGTATACCATTTGCCGTGTTCCAGCAGTTGAATGGCGTCGTTGATCTGGGCCAAAGTCATGTTGTGAGTGATGAACTCATCCAGCTTTATCTTCCCGTTCAGGTAGGCTTTGACCATCTCAGGCACACCTGTCTTCATCTTATATCCTGAGGCACAAAAAAACATAATGAACTTAAAACAAATTGTCTGATCTTACTAATGGGTGGAATGATGACAAAGATAGAGCTTTGTGGCTACAGAGACAGAGCTGAGAGCTTCCTGGGTACTGTCACAACACAAGCACTATCTGACTGGGTAGTTGGAAGGCCTTTGATCATTCTTGCATAGCCAGACCATTCTCTTGCACTGGCAGTACTGTGTAGAATGGTCTGGTTGCACTTCATTATCATTCTGCTATACAGTGGTAAGATGCTGTGTGACGGTTGTGTGTCTTCAAATCCATTGCAGTTGTCTTGGTTGGGACGAAGAACAGGATGCACTGACAGTATTTACTTAAGATAGTTATTGGGGAAATGTGTTGGTGGAGGTAAGCACTGCTATTAAAATAGATCATTTATCCCAAAAATTAAAAATAAACAAATAAAGGATCACTGCACAGTGCTATTGCATGACAAAACTTTAACTTTTCAGTGTGTGAGGTTGCTAACCAGATGTTGTTTCCTGCAATATTGGGATTTCAAATCGGTAACACATGGGCTAGGAAGGGAAAAATAAATGTGAAAGGTTTATGGCCAATGGCAGGATTATACTTGAAGCCTACATGTGATGGGTCAGACTAATCGGAAATAAACAAGAGAAATGCAGGACTGGATGTGCTTGATTAACTTTGTGCTGTGGTTCCAGTTGTTTCATGTAGTCTTCACTCCAAGATATGGCAGAGCCAAGTCAATCAGTCTGATCCAGTTCAGTGTAAAGCAACTGGTAACCGGAAGGGCCACAAGGTGGGGCGGTGGTTAGTATTGTTGCCTCGCAGCAAGAAGGTCGCCGGTTCGCATCCCAGTGAGGACATTCAGGATCTTTCTGCGCAGAGTTTGCATATTCTCCCCGTGCAGCGTGAGTGTGGCCCTGTGATAGACTGGTGACCTGTCCAGGGTGTCCCCTGCCTTCGCCCTAAATTGGCTGGGATAGACTCCAGCCCCCCCGCGACCCTAGTGAGGATTAAGCGGTGTATTGATAATGGATGGATGGATGGATCATGGAACCACAAATGTTACAGTGCACCTTTCCTAATGTGGCAAATACATCTTGGGTGCCTTTCCCAGTCCTAAGCCGAATCAGCTAATATTGTGATGTGAATAAAATGATTTGGGACTAACATCCAATAAACAATGACCAATGATCACAGTAAGGACAGTCACATTAGTTGGTGTAGATGATTATGTTTGTCTCACCTCCTAAAAGGGATCCCTTCCATGTACGTCCAGCAATCAGCTGAAAGGGACGGGCAGCAAAGTCATCTTTGTTGGTAAAGCCAACGATTACAGCAACACCCCAACCTTTGACACAAGACTCCAAAGCACTGCGCTGGATGGAGAAACAGCACAAAGTCAGTGGACTCATAAACACAAGTGTTCAGTTCTAAAATATATATAAACAGTGTGCCTCACCATGACTTCCACATTCCCAATGCACTCCAGGGAGTAGTCCACTCCTCCATTGGTCATGTCAGTCAGCACTTCACTGATGGGTTTATTGTGATCTTTGGGGTTGACAAAGTCAGTAGCACCAAAGACTTTGGCCTTCACAAACTTCTCTGGCTTGATGTCAACAGCTATAATCCTCTTTGCTCCTGCAGCTTTGCAGCCCATGACTGCAGCCAGACCCACAGCTCCCAGACCGAACACAGCACATGTGGATCCTGGTTCAACCTGAAGAGAAAGCGACGAGGAGTTGGATTTTTCATTCCTCTGTACACTGATAAACACTAAACCTCCCCAACTACCCTGGAGCCACGGACAGAATGTTTCAGGTTAAATATCTGACTCAACAAATAATTGGTGACACATATGCAATAATATTAATGCATGTTAAATGTAAATACCTATTGGACCATCCAGCGGTCAAACATACACACCTTAGCAGTATTAACTGCTGCTCCATATCCAGTGCAGATCCCACAGCCCAGGAGGAAGACTTTGTCCAGGGGAGCTGCAGGATCAATCTTGGCCACAGCCATCTGGTTCATCACAGTGTACTGTGAGAAGGTGCTGGTTCCAAAAAACTGCAGCACCTTCTTCCCCTTACAGGTAAATCTGGAATCTTCTGATGACTTCATGGAATCTGTATTCCTGAAGAAAAAATGTATTACAGTGATTAGAAATGTTTGCATTGCATTTCTCTGCACTGGATAAAAGCGGTGCCATTTTCAGAAAGTTGTTTTATGTACATAGTGAGTACTATGTCACACATAGAGACATGGTCCTTAAATGGTTTGTGCATCACCAAACTCGTCTATAACCCTATGAGCACATCTTGAATGAATGAAATAAAGAGATGAGAAATAAAAGCCCTCACCATGCATCTGCACACTGGTTGGTCTTTGGACTTTTACAGAAGCGACATTTTCCACACTGAGGGAAAGGCAGAGGGATGACTTTGTCTCCTGAAAGACAAAACCAAGTTGACATGTTAAATGAACTAAGTAACTAACTAACTTACAAGAATACAAATGTGAAACGGTTTCTTCTTAAACCGGACTGAGTTGCACAGTCTTTGGTCTTCTCATTGCCCCGTCTTACACAGAGACAAATGAAACAGGTGAGGTTGGAAGCTTTAACTGACCTGGCTGAAATTCAGTGACACCTGGACCAACACTTTCTACGATGCCAGCTCCCTCATGGCCAAGGACAATTGGAAAGTCATCTTTATTCACACCCTCAAACAAGTGGTACAGGTCTGTGTGGCACACCCCAGTTGTCACAATCTGCACAAAAGACAACAAACACACAACGAAAACACAGACAATTCATTTCAACAAATGGATATTGTGTCTTGTGTATATCATTTACTCAACCCTTACTGTGAACAGGTAAAGTTTAGACAGAGGTGCAGGCTTTCCAAAACGTAAAGATCTGAAGTGTAATGAATGGATTGAATTCTGTCTTTAGCTGTTCTAATGTAGGATGCTAATGTCAATATGTTCAGCCAAATATCAGCAGAAGTGTTACATCCCAAGGTAAGGAGCATGTCCACAGTGACCTATGCCTAGTGCTTCATCAGAGTGTGTTGGCTAACATCTCCGTCCTTATTTTTCATGAATTTGGGGATAAAAAATAAATTATAAAAAGGTTGCTGACCAGAACTGAAAAGTCTGCTCGATTTGCGACAACAGTGATATTTTAAGTAGGGCTGGTCCAAATAGAAATTTCTGTTCTCCGGATACCTGGCCCAATAAATGGCCAATATCCCGAATAGTTGGGAGGGTAGTGGTTGGTGAGTATTCGTTCCGGTGAGGGGCGGGACGCACAGGCAGCGTTTGGTTACTGAACCCAGTTTAGGTGTTTAGGCTAGCGGTCACAGTACCGCTTCCACGGCGGCCGGGGGGGAGGACGAGTGTTAGCTGAGTATTCAGGCCAAGGAATGGGGGCTGGTGCTGCTGAGTCTGACGGGCAGCAGTGAGCGGGTGTTCCCATCATCAGTGTCGGCGGTGGCAGCGACTACTGCAACTCCAGTAAGGAGTTTCAGTAGTCGATGTGTGATAATATGACAGCTTGTACCAGGAATTGTGCTGCATGTTCAGACAGGAAGGGTCTGATCTTCCTGATGCTGTACAGGGCAAATTGATACGACCGAGCAACAGAGGCCACATGAGCCATGGTCATCAATCATGACACCCAAGTTTCTGGCAGATTTTGTGGGTTTGAGTTGAGTTGATTCAAGCTCAGTGTTGATTTCTTGTTGTATGGAGGGACTAGCTGGGATGACAAGGAGCTCAGTCTTGGAGAGGTTGAGTTGAAGGCAACATTTTTCATCCATGCCAAGATATCTACAAGGCATAATAAGATCCGGGCAGAAGAGACAGTGTGGTCATCTGGGGGTAACGACAGAAAGAGCTGGGTATCATCAGCATAGCAATGGTATGAGAAACCATGGGTGTGCATTATTGCACCAAGTGAGGTTGTGTATATTGAGAAGAGGAGGGGGCAGAGCACTGAACCTTGAGGAATCCCTGTGGATAGGCTGTGTGGCTCGGACACTTTTCCCTTCTGTGATACTCTGAAGTATCTCCCTGAGAGGTAGGAGATGAACCAGCGGAGGACAGATCCCGAGTTTATTTCCCGCCTGTCACGTTAGTCTTGCTTAGTTTATTCTTTGTAGAGCTCCTGACCATACGTTAGGATTGGAATGTAGATGGTCCAAGCTGCCTGTCCATGTTATGCTCCATTTTCCTGTCATTCATGGACAAGGTCCCAAGTTACTTACACCCCTTCGCTTTCGGAAGCAACTCCCCGTCAACTCAGAGAGCATCCACTGGTTTCTGGCAGAGAACCACAGCGTTGGCCTTGGACATGCTGACTAGCATCCCAGCTGCTTTACACTTGGCTGCAAACCGCTTCAGTGCGTGCTGATGGTCGTGGTCTGATGAAGCCAACAGTACCATGTCATCTGCAAAAAGCAGCCGCCCTGTAGGCTGTGGCTCAGGTTGCTACCTATGGCAGGCAGGCATCTTGCAGCTCTTTCACCATTGGTGCAATAATGTATGGATGAATGAGAAACACATTATAAAGCACTCTGAGTATCAGTAAGGTAGAAGGGAGCTATTTAAGTGCGGACCATTTACCGCTTACCAGTCATAACCAACATTAAGACAAAGACAGAGCAAGTTTTCATCCATTTACAATCACAGACTGGAGACAGGCACTGTGCCAGACGTACAACCTTAAAAGACAAAACCTTCCAGGCTTGTCAGGATGGTGTGAGGTTTGTGCTTGCAGGAGGAGGCCATGAGAGAGCAGACCTTTAGACGATTCCCAACACACACTTCCAGACAAGAAGACACCAACAGTGTGGAGTGGACGAATTCAGATGGGCATTGTGTCAGACATGCAGTTTGTGGTCATTTCTGATTAATAAAGTCCTAAAACTCTCATGTCTCACTCGTGCAAATGCAATTTATTTACAAATTCTTACTCACAGGTACAGTGAGACATCTGTATATGTGTACATATGGGCATTGTTGCGGACATCTCTCACCTTGATGCGGACCTCGTTGGCCTGAGGTGGAGCCACTTCAATCTCCTCAATCACCAGAGGTTTGTTGAGCGCCCAGGCTACTGCTGCCTTGCACTTGATGACCTACAGGAGCAGTGATACCGGCATGAAATTTCACATTTTTGGGTGCTGCAGTGGTTTCACTAAGCTAGGGTGGCACTCTGGGAAGGTGCTATGAAAGACTCCATTACCCATTCAGACAACATGTATTTCAAAAGGCATTAAAGTCAGGCACGTCTTTGCATTATGCTGAGTTAAAGTGTGGATAAAAACGTGACTTCCCTGATGCTTCAATGTCAAAGCAAACACTCATTTGAACACAATACACTGACTTATTTTCATTTTTTGATTCATGTACACAGGACAGTAAAGAGTACACTGTGTTACATAGCGTTGGTCCTTGAAAAACCAAACATCATAGAAAATGCAACAGTTGGCAAGCCTTTAATTTGGTAAAACAGAATAATTTAGTGTAGGGTTGGCACATTTACTGATAACTGAGTAAATCATTTGTTATGGTTGAGTTTGTACTGGGAGTTCTTTGGCCTTCACTATTATTGTTTTTTTGGCCTCCTACCATTTGGTCTCTGTTAGTATCCACAGTTGTGCAAAGCTGTATGGATTTTTTCAAACTGTGTGAAAGGTTGAATCAGGNGTATACCATTTGCCGTGTTCCAGCAGTTGAATGGCGTCGTTGATCTGGGCCAAAGTCATGTTGTGAGTGATGAACTCATCCAGCTTTATCTTCCCATTCAGGTAGGCTTTGACCATCTCAGGCACACCTGTCTTCATCTTATATCCTGAGGCACAAAAAAACGCAAATTATGAAATTTAAAAAAATTGTCTGATCTTACTAACAGTTGGAATGATGGCAAAGATAGAGCATGGTGGCTACAAAGACAGAGCTGAGAGCTTCCTGGGTACTGTCACAACACAAGCACTATCTGACTGGGTAGCATGAGTTGGAAGGCCTTCGATCATTCTCGCATAGCCAGACCATTCTCTTGCACTGGCAGTACTGTGTAAAATGGTCTGGTTGCACTTCACTATCATTCTGCTATACAGTGGTAGGATGCTGTGTGACGGTTGTGTGTCTTCAAACCCATTGCAGATCACTGCACAGTGCTATTGCACGACAAAACTTTAACTTTTCAGTGTGTGAGGTTGCTAACCAGATGTCGTTTCCTGCAGTATGGAGATTTGAAATCGGTAACACATGGGCTAGGAAGGGGAAAATAAATGTGTGAAGATTACGGCCAATGGCAGGCTTACACATGAAGCCTACATGTGATGGGTCAGACTAATCAGAAATAAACAAGAGAAATGCAGAGCTGGATGTCCTTGATTAACTTTGTGCTGTGGTTCCAGTTGTTTCACGTAGTCTTCACTCCACAATATAGCAGAGCCAAATCAATAAGTCTGATCCAGTTCAGTGTAAAGCAACTGATATAAACAGGTAATTGCTGCATGGAATCACAAATTATACAGTGCACCCTTCCTAATGAGGCAAATACAGCTTGGGTGCCTTTCCCAGTCCTAAGCCGAATCAGCAAATATTCTTATGTGAATAAAATGATTTGTGATTAACATCCAATAAAAAAATGACCAATGATAACAGTAAGGACAGTCACATTGGTTGGTGTAGATGATTATGTTTGTCTCACCTCCTAACGTGGATCCTTTCCATGTACGTCCAGCAATGAGCTGAATGGGACGGGCAGCAAAGTCATCTTTGTCGGTAAAGCCAACGATTACAGCAACACCCCAACCTTTGACACAAGACTCCAAAGCACTGCGCTGGATGGAGAAACAGCACAAAGTCAGTGGATTCGTAAACGCAAGTGTTCACTTCTAAAATATATATAAACACATCTGCCTCACCATGACTTCCACATTCCCAATACATTCCAGGGAGTAGTCCACTCCTCCATTGGTCATGTCAGTCAGCACTTCACTGATGGGTTTATTGTGATCTTTAGGGTTGACGAAGTCAGTAGCACCAAAGACTTTGGCCTTCTCGAACTTCTCTGGATTGATGTCAANCCCTTCCTGGAATATAAATCTTCAGTGTTTTTAACAAATCTTGACAAGATGTGGAAACTCTAAAACACACCTTTAAAGAGGTTGGCACACAGTCACGTTGGCATAATTCTGATGACTGGGTTTTTTACAATGATTGAAGGTAATTCTTTATTTCTGAAAGTCATTTTGGCTGCTATATTGCATAGCCTTGCTCTCAATAGATAACTCCACTTCTGCTAAGATATGATGGAAATCCAGAGGCCTTGTGTTGAACTTTATTGTTGTCAGTGATGATGTTCTTATCAAACAGCTACGTGTCTGTGACTGGTGTCAGTAAATACAGTTCTGGCAGAGCATCAGGACTGTTTTCTGTTTCAGTGCAGGTTATTAAAGTAAACTGTTTCATGGTTTAACCCTGTAAAATTCATTCCTATATCCAGGAGTAATGCAGTAGTGGCCTCCCCTTGTCTTCTGATGATCTGTGGCTCCTCAGTGTCACTGTCTTTTTTGTCCACGGTGTCCCTCACTGTCTGTCTTTAACTAAACCTGTGAAGCTAACCAACCGTGTGACGTCACTGGTTATCGTACTCTAAAATGGCAGCATCCTTTGTAGAGAAGACATGAAACAATCTTCTATTTCCTTTTATATGCCTACGTTTTTTGCGTTTGTTATATACCCTCTGAATACAGTAGAAGTACATGTAGTGAATTATGCGAACTTAACTGTGTGTTTCACTTCCCCTTTAACATAACGCCCGTAAGAAAAACCTTCTACCAGACCTCCAGTTAATTGACTTGAGCTGATAGTTAACGTTTACAATAAAATGAAGCTGTATCATGTTGCCACACCTCTGTTTGAGAAGCTCAAACATTTACAACACCTATAACACCTATACACATGAGCTGGAGCTGCTGTTACAAAGACATTGCCTCAATCTTGAGGGTATTGGCAGCTAAACAAAGGAAAGGTACTGACATCCAAGGAGCGGGAGATGTTAGTAGGGAGGATTGTCTTTACAGGGTGCGGATGCTGCGGATTGGATGAGTTGTGTGCCAATCATGTGCCAAGAGATCTGGACATATCTGTGCACCAACGAAGGGTGAGCTAAGTTTAAACCACGGTTCCTCCCAAACCAGATAGCTATTCATGTTCTATAATTGAAATTAAATGTATGTGTTTGGTAGCCAATCACCTTGCACCACAATGGATGAGATGTTTATGCTTACATGAAGCTCCATCCATTGCTGGAGAAGTTGGTTACAGATCACCAGCTTGCTGACTATGATTTTCTGAACCAGTGATGGATCCTTGATCAAGT